CACACAAAAATCGTGTGTTTCCTTGCGGGTGGGGGAAGAGGCAGGTGGTAAAGTTAGCGTGTCTTCACCTTGGGTGGGCATTTAGCAACCTCCCGGGCTCAAGAGATGGTCTTGAGGGAGCCTCAGTGAATGTCAGCGCTCGGGCGGTCGGCGTTTACCTCCCCCAGGTACAGGGGCAGGTCCGTGTGTCCGGCTGGGGGTTCTGCGCCTCCTGGGCTCGGCGTTGCAAATACGGGGTTGCTGACAGCTGCTCTCGCTTTGCGGAAAGCAGAGCAATTAAGAGCTGTCGGGGGAGCGGGAGGCAGCTCAATCCTGACACCCTTTAAAGCAAAGAGGCTGGCTCTGTCGGTAGCTTGAAACGAAACATTGGCACCGTACTGGGAAATAATGCGTCTCTTCTCTAGTTACGTTTGGACGTGAAGTCTCAGTTAGCTTTAACTTGCTTCCTCTAAAGCTTCTCCTTTCTTGGGGTAAGGCTAAGAGAGTTAAGGTCAGGGCTTAGGTTAGCTTTAACATGCTTTTCCTCTTTAATCTGTGCACAGTATATATTGCATAGGTCACTTAGGTGTATGATTAGAAACAGTGGATTGATTAAAATCACTGATTTTAATTGTGATTTAAGAAATAGAGTTAATCTTGTTTTGTATTTATACCAGATAAGGATGTTAGCTTGCAACTAAATATAGTCCCTCTTGTGAAATAAATGCTTATTTCTAGCAGTAGGAAAAGTATACCTTGCTTTTACCTGTTTAGGGCTCACGAGAACCCAAATATACACTTATTTAGTGAATTAGACGTGCTAGACATTAAAGCAAGGTTGATACAAGTAAAATCAAGGTGTTTAAGATAGTGACTGGAATGCAATTAAAAAGGTATATGAAATATCTGGAAAACTGACAATGTTTTCCTTTTAAACCAAAGAAATCCACTGAATAAAAGCTTGTCTATTTCATGATTCAATACTGATTGTTTTTGTTAACAGTACCCTTAACAGGTTTAGAACTAGGAAGATTTTTGTAAATTCATATTTCATCTTATTTATAGATGGAGAAAAACAATGAGTACTTATTTTGAATTTGGAGAGGGTTTGGGTTTTGCTTTTGCTTTTAACTTTCCGAGGGAACAATTTACTGACTTTAAAAAAAGAAGTTCTTTGTACATGCAAGGGAGCGATGCTGTGGAATGCTTGTCCCTGCCGCTTAGCCACTGATCTCTATCAATTACGTATGCTTAATTTCTTCAAAGCTTTAGCAATAAACTTGTGCTACTTAAACTTTTTAGTTTAATTTTGCTGTAATGTCCTAACATAACACACTTGAGTTATTATGAGCCTAATACCAGCTTTTAAAACAAAACATATTTATCCACAATAACTATTTATTTTTAGAATGTATCCAGTCTTAAGTCATTGTAAATAATTTAAGAGGGAAGCTGCTTTAAATATTTGAAGTGCTTCTAAGGACAAAAAATGTATATAGTTTACCTGAAAGTACGTGTTATTAACAGCTTTTGAAATTTTTAGCATTTTAATAATTGAGACTTGCAGACTTCAAATTATTCCCTTGTCTTTCCCTTCTCGTATGCCAACTGAGATTTTTGCTTTTCTCTAACTAATAGAATAGCTAGTCTGTGTGTGATCACTGCCCACTTCATGGGCAAGTGTATTTCTTCTGGAAACTTTAAAAAAAAAAAAAAGCCACTTGGGAATGTTGGAAGATAATTCAAAACCAGCCACATTCTAATGTCTGTGAATCATTGTAAATTTATCAAACTAAGAAGGTATTCCCATGTTAATTCTATATCTTTTTAGCTGATAATTTTTTGTGAGTTTGTGTGAAAGCAGAGGATTGTTAATAAGCTCTAAAAAAACAACTGTGTGGTATAATAATTTGATATATTTCATCAGTTTGTATTGTACACCTCCCTCACATTGATATACTTTAATATGCAGTATTTGTTATTTCTGCAGTTGTGGTTATAAGTCCCGCATGGTTTCACTGTGGGAAGACAGAGCCAGACTCTTCTCGGAGATGGATAGTTGAAGGATGAGAGGCAGCAGACACAACCTAGAACATGGCAAATTCTGATTAGGCATAAGGAAAAGAAAATTACCTTGAGGGTGGTAAAATACCGGAACAGGTGCCTGGAGAGGTTGTGGGATCTCCATCCTTGGAGGTGTTCAAGACTTGACTGGACCCAGCCCTGAATTAGTATGCTTGTTGGCTCACATAAAACTCTGAGTGTATATGTATGAACAGGGTTTTTGACTAAAATTGACATGCATATTTCATCTCATCTTACAGGTTTGAAGCCAGATGTTTTAAGTAAACAGTTTTCTTTGTGCTTCATGTTACCTGTTGGATAGGCAAACAGAGAGTCCATAGAATTTTGGGTTTGAATAAATGTAAACATTAGCCATTGAATGGAAAAAGAAGTGTACTTTTCCAGACTAAGGAAGAAGTTTCCTTCATTGAATTTGGGGAAAGGTAGAGAGAGAAGCTTAGAGGTCACTGTTCTGAGGATGAAGTGCATTCATCTCCTGGAACTGTTAAGGTGCACTCCTCTTGTTACATCTTCCCCATGGATGTCTTGGAGATCTGGTATTTCATTGGCAATGTGGTCATCCATTCTAGTGTGGCATGAAAGAGAACAGGTTTGGTGGGGGCTGTAAATATGATGTCAGATTTTACTCTGTGGGAAACGAATAGTTATTTAACCATTAAAACTAGGAATATAGAAATATAACTAGGAACAGTTCACATTTAATAGGAGCATTAATTTCTTTAGCTCTCTTGTGTTTCAAAAAATAAAACAGATGTACCAAGGTCTGCCTAAAATCCCAGTCTGACTTGAGCTCTAGCCCTCTGTCCCTTCCTGAGAAGATCCCATTTTGGAATACACCAGCCTAAGAGGTAACTGTATTTTAGTCCTGTTGGGGAAAGAAGGGAGAAGGAAAAGAAGTTGGATTACTTTGAAGTCTGTTGAATTAATAATGAACAGCTTTTTAAATTTTCAGTGTTTTAATACCACATACTCTTGGGTAGACAGAACATTTTTTTTTTTTTTTTTCCCCCCTCAGGAGCCCTTCTTGTATTTAAAATAGCTTACAATAACTTAAATATGTAAACTTGTTTTTTTTCTCCCCCCCTTCCCCCCCATATACTACCTCAAATGTAGAAATTCTTGTATGCGGAAGAGATGGGTAAATGGAAATCAGATTTCATTTTGATGGGTATTTATTTTCTGAAAGGAAGTTGAAATGAGAGGAGTTCAAATCTAAACTTTTGGAGGTCATCGGTTTTGCAGCCCTTTAGTGGGTTATGTAAAGTGAGCTGATACTTGTTAACATTTTTTACAGTGAGAGGTAAATAATCGCAACACAAAGGTTAGTAGAGGGCACTAGTTTACTTTGTTTTTACTGCAGAAACAGGCCTGCAGTGCAAATGAGTGAAGATGTTACCATGCTTCAAACTTAAGTAACAGCTTGAGCTTCAATTTGACAAGGATGCTAGCTAGAAAAACAGGGTCAAGATGTGGCAGAGAAGTGAGAAGATGTGTATTTGTTTGCTCATGTGTCCATGCACCCAGTGCTCTTTGTCTTTTTTTTAGGACAAGCAATTTTCTTGCATGGTGCATAAGTGTTTGAAATGTACTTATTTTGCAAAAGGAAATCAATGCATGCACTAACACTGCTGTTTCTGGACAGAGTCCTGGTAGTTCAGTATCTCAGACTCCTGCAGTGTGCCTGATTTCTCTCTCTTTAGACACTTCAGAAGATTGAATGTTGCTAAATTAGCTTATTAAAAAAAAAGAGAGGTGGTAATTTATATCTGAGTGCATGAAGAATAGAACTGCTAAAACTGTCTACGTAACTCCTCTTGGAAATAACTTCTTCACTTGCCAGAATGTGACTTGTGCCATTTTTTTAATTGCATGTAAAATGTGTTTTGCTAACATAAGCATATATTTGACCATGAACAGTGAGCTGTGTCTAAATTGTTTGCCATCTTCTGGAGTGGGAGGTGAGGTCAGACTACTGGTATCAATGGATTCATGGCCCAAGGCTTTACTCTGCAAGGATGGAATGAAAAAATTGTAGTAGTAAAAATGGAGTATGTCTGATACCTCAGGTATTTTGAGGGATACTCTTTTGAACATAGGCTCTTGGCTTACTATGTTAAGAATGAGAAAGGTTTAGGTGTTGCTATTTGAGGGGGAAAAATAATATTGTAGAAAGATAATTTTTTTGGAAATTAATCTGAACTCAAAGGCTTAAGCAGAGTTGTTTCCAGTGCACTGCTCACATTTAACTTGGTAAGTTGAATCCTGTCTATTCTAGATAGAGTCTGTGTAAGTTAAAATATGCAAGTTCTGAAAATACTTCTAGATGACCTTGTAGCATATCACTCAGGTTAATAACCTGTTACTTTGACCTTCCTTCCCACCCCCATTCCTCCACCAAGTTGACGAGCTTATCAGGCAATTTTCTCAAAGTATGCTTTGAAGAAACACAACATTAAAAATTCAAACAAAACATTGCAGGTGGATGAGCTGCCGTTCTTACTATGACTAGGTGTGTGGTTGTTAAAATTATTTTAGTGTTCTTTGGGAACAGTTGTGTCTTCTGCAGTGGTTTGATCTAGTTCCCAAATGCTGATTTAATGTGAGAAAAAATTATTATGTGTCTGTTACGTATTGGTAAAAGTGCACCTATTTAGGTAGAGACCTGTGTGAGAGATGTTACAGGTCTCCTCCATGTTCCTTACCCCCTGCTTTAAAAACCTTCCCACGAAATGCATTACAATAAGTTCACATTTAACGTTCCCTTTATTGTGTTTATATATAAATGAAGATAAATGGTGCCCTGGAACCTTAAGTTTGGTTAAAGTCCAACAAGTGTTACTAGCTCTGGTGAACCCAGGTGCTCTGCTTCCTCAGCAGGCAAACTGTGGACCTTAAATCTGTGCATCATACGCTGTAGGTTTTTATGGATGTTGCATATGGAGTAAGTCCATGTATCCATGCTTACAGAAGGTCACTCATCTTTTTTTTTTTTCTTAAATAATGTGTTTCTGGAATGAATAATTCCTAACAGAAGCATCTTATATAGGTATTTTACACCTACGATCTATGTGTATATAACATATGAGGAACTTGGCACCTGAGTATTCACCAGGAGTTCTATTTGAAAGTCTGAAGTGACTTTTTTTTTTTCCTCAGAAAACTCCTAAACTCTGTTACACACTAGTGGACAGTTATTTTATCTGTTAAAAAACTCTTGAATTGTCATGCTAGGAATCAGAGAGAAAAGTTGGAGCTCTAGACATGCTTTATTACTGGAAGTGCATTTTTTTTGGTTTTTGACATATCTTCCGTTCTTAAATTCATTTTATTTTCAGCTCAGGCTTGTGCAGATGTTCTGGCATTAGCCAAAGAAGCTAGAAAGCGAAATCTTGGTCCTCTTCATCCTTCCTTTAATGTGATAAAGATACTAAGAGATGGACTGATGAGACATCTTCCAGAAAACACTCACCAGTTGTCATCGGGCAGACTATGTATTTCACTAACCAGAGTATCAGATGGTAAAAATGCGTTGATATCTAATTTTAACTCTAAAGAAGAAGTTATCCAGGTATGTTTATTTTTGGCAACTTTTAAAAGTTTCTATAATCTTAAGTCCATTTAACATCATCCATTGGATTTCCACTTTAAACATTTTAGGATATTGTGACTTTGACAGTATTTTGAAGATTAACTCAAGCTTCATTACACTAAATTCACTTACTAGTTTTCCCAGTCAATGTATCTGCAAACTGTTTTAGTGAGTACGTGCGAGGGATCAATCTTAAAAAGGATAAATGCCTTTAAAGTGCAGTGTATCTAATAAAACTGTATCCTTCAGGAATAAGATTTTTTTTTTTTTAAGGTCGTTCTTACAAAAGGGGTGATCAAAAATAGCTTTTTCAAATTCTTAATACCAGTTACAAAGCTAGTTTAATATGATCCCAGACTGTTGATATTTGAGACCCTGGTTAGTTACTTCGATTACTCAGAAAATGTATAGCTTGAGTGAATGATCATGAACTTTTCCTTGCTAATTAGCATTTCTAGAAATGGTCTTTTAGTGAGTCTTATAATTTTTTTAGATGGAGTGTGGTTACATTCTAAAGAAGAAATGTGGAAAACCTTCATCCTGTTTCAAATAATGCTTGATAATACCTCCCCCCCCCCCCCCCCCCCCCTTTCTTTTTATTCAAGTGTACTTACTGGGGGTTTTTTTGGTTGCTTGCTCAGTTGTTTTTGCTAACATCTAAAGAGATAAAGATAAGTGATAATTTCAATAATAGAACAGTTACCATTTAATTTACATGGTCTCATTTTCCTACAGGCTTTGATCTGTAGTTCATTTGTCCCTATTTATTGTGGCCTAATTCCACCGTCATTTAGAGGTGTGGTAAGTATTGTTAAGACCTAAAAATAGATCTAGCTGTTCTGAAAATATTAGGAGACAATGTATATGTTTTTTTCAGTTATCCTACTGTAAAATAAATACCTTCATCATAGCTTCTAGTACTGTAGCTGTTTGTTACAACTTTTCAAAAAAGCAAGGAAACACTAAATGTGTGGAAGACCTGTTATGTATATTTCTATACACATAACATATATATATTTATATATATTTCTATATTTCTTCTCCACCCTGCAAAACACATACATGCTCTCTCTTGGCCCCCCAGATTTCTTGCTTGCTGATGCAGTAATTAAAAGAGGGTATTCTAAGTTAGCAAGTATTTAACTTAAGGATAAATATTTATTGAAGAAAGTGATGCTTATTCATCTGCACAAATATACAGGAAGGGTCATTTATACTTGTTTGTTTAAAAAAAAAATCTTGTAAGATAGTTTCTTGTATATCTTTGTGTTCTTGCTGGAGGTAGATCTGCCTTAAAACTGGATTAAAGTTCTGTGTTCAGTTAGATATAAACAAAACTTTTTAATGTCTTCTGCCATTTGTATTCAGCATAAGAAAGGTTGCTTTTTAAAGGTAAAATGTCAGTGTATTAGTCAGTTCTATTACTCCACAGGAACTGTTGGTTACAAAACCTCTTAATACTTCATGGCTATACTGGGTTTTCGAAAATCCCCCACTGAAGGGGCAACAACTGCAGAAAAGTTAGTATAAATTGCTGTAGGTGCTTTGATTAACAGGTTTGGAAGCAGACATGCATTTCGAATCAAGGCAGTGACATTCATGGCTTTTTGTAGTATTGTATTAGCTTGCATTTGCTTTCCTTCCAACTTCGGAGCTCCTTACACAAGGAGACGGGAAGAATATGGAAAGAAAACTCAAAACATCTTTAACAGTGGTTGATTACAGACTGTTCTCAAGGCAATGTGGAAGTGCTGAAAGGTCAAGGAAAGACATGAAATGTATTTTCTTCTTCATGCTGAAATTTAAGCAAAAGTGATTAGAACTGTATAGGGATTTTTCTTTATCTGTACTTCTAAACCTTGTATGTCTCCTTAAACTCTTCCAGATTAAAGGTGTTATGAAAACAGGATGTTGGACTGAATCCAGGGTTTAGGTGGATCCAGGCTAATCTGGCTGTTCAGTTCTTGTCACCAGACAACAATGTTATTTTAAAAGGCTTAGTTCAGAGTACAAAACCATACGAGTGATGCTTCCTTTGGTCCTATTTTGAGGGAAGAAATCATTGTATCCTTTTGATCTTGCCAATTATTTTGATACGATTTTAACACTTAGGAAGCATTTTTGATGTTACTTGGTAAGAATACTACAGTGACTCCTGTAAGGCTTAAACACAGTAGAATGTCAAGTGTGTAAACTTTGTAGCATCTTGCTGTTTACTGGCTTGGTGCGTCATGCATGTGTACTTTCAAACAAAGACTTAAGGATAACTTTCAAGAGGTATATCTAACAGCCAGCTGTGAAACTTTTGGGTGTGGTGGGTTTTGTTTGGGTTTTTTTAGCCCTTTCAAACACATCAATAATTTTAGATTAAAAAATTACTAGGGGGAATAGACAGGCAGAAACTCCAAATAATTAAAACCATTTACCTCTGTAGAACAGTGACCCAGATGTGTACTTCCACCTTTTAATAATTTCATGAGAAGGCTGCATGCTATGGCTCCTCCTTTGCCAAACTTGTTGTATTGTACTTGAAACTTCCACAAAGGACTTGGTGATTGCATTATGCACCTATAGGAAGTTTGTCAGTAGCTGCATGCTGCTGGGTCTAGAGAGTGCCCAAGAAAGCTCACAGGCAGGAGCAAGCTGCTGTAGAAGAGTACGTTGGATAAATTGCTCTGAGCTGTCCTTTTCCTAATTCCTAGTTTGTTTCTCAGAATGGTCGGGGAGTGAGTGTGAAGACAGATGAAATTCGTAATCCAGGTTGCTCGTGGTCAAAACACCTGCTCTGTTACCTCTGCGTTTTACAAGGACCTACAGTTTATGTCTGTTGCCTAGTTAGGAAGAAGGAAAATGCAGCCACTAAACCAGCAAAGCTGGTAATGTGGAGTGGTCTTCTGCCGCTGTCAGAACAAACTGGCTACAATTGGTCCTGCTGGAAAGATGGCTCTTGTGAGTGACTGGAGGAGTTGTCTTTGGCCGTAGCAGCTGCTGCACTATAGATTAGTTACCCTGATATAAAACTCTTCAGTTCTTGGATTTTAAAATGCGTGAGGTGATGATGCACTAAAACTGCAGAAATGGGCAACTCAACATGAAGGAGACAAAAGTGCAACCTGGAACAGCTTCTAAACTTGCACTCAAAGCAGAAGAGATAATCCATGATTGCTGGCAAGGCTTCTGAAGCATTATCCATTTTACTTGCAGTTTCTTTATGTCCAAATATTTTTGACACTTCATATCAAATTCTAATTACTAAGAGTAATTTTAAGTTGCTGTTATTCTAACTGAATGGTTTAGTATCACGGAACTTGAGCTTTGAAGTGTAGAGCTATTCTTTTACTCGTATTCTTTCTAAAGTACCCTGGTAGCTCTTTGGTTGGTGTTTGCCTTTGAGGAAGAAGACAGCTGCACTACTTTTTCTCTGCATGTTGTGTAGGATTGTGATCTTTAAAATGGACTTGCTCTTTCTTAAACATACAGAAAAATCCCAAATAGAATACTCTTAGGCTGTCTATGGAACAATAGGTAGGAGTGCTTTTTAACTGGCATTAGAGGACAGAGCATGCTACTCAAAATGTTTAGCCTGGGAGCATAGGCAGAGACTGTTCTGTTACAGTCTTAAATGCTATTTAATTCTTGCATGGGAAATCTGCTAGTTAGAAATTTTCAGCCTTTGAAACTTCTTATTTCTGCTAATTTTTGTAGCGCTATGTGGATGGAGGAATCAGTGACAACTTACCTCACTATGAATCTAAGAATACCATTACAATTTCGCCTTTCGCTGGAGAGTGTGATATCTGTCCAAAAGGGAATTCTGCCAGCTTTCATGAAATGATTGTGACTAACGCCAGCATTCACCTTAGTTTGGGGAATCTTTATCGTTTAACACAAGCGCTCTTTCCACCAGAACCTAAGGTAACTCACTGCCTTGACGTGGTTACTAAAACATCTTTCCATATAAAAGCCTTGCTTTTGCAGAAAGCTACAGTAATCTTAGCATTTCATCTAGTCATTTAAACCTTTCTGGTGACATTTCTCTTCTTGTTTCTATTTTTTTCATACTTTGTCTTCATTCTCCTTATTTTCAGTCTCTCTCAGACTAAAAATGCCTGTCCTGGTATTGGCTTTCAGTATTTATTTGGGAAGTAGCACAGAATTCTGTCATAAAATCAACATTGGTAAATTAATAACTGTCAGTTTGTAGTCCTTTCATGCTTACCTGCTAACCAGGTGCTTCAGAACTTAGCAGAAGTTCTAAAGCTTCATGGTTTTGTAAGGTTCTCAATCAATACTTCATGCAGGCAAGTTGCCTTTAAACTTCAAGTGCTGTTAATTGCAGATCTGATGAGGGAAATGCTCTTGAATTGCTGTTGTGGAAGCTGAAAAAATGAAAACAGACTTTGACAATTGGCTTGGGATATATTACAGAGGAGAAGTAATGTTCCTGACTGCTATAGATATATTTTTTTAATTGGAGGCTTTTTGACCGCTTGAAGAAAAATGTTAAATTCTACTTATGTAGGCTTTAATTTTTTTTTTTTTTTTTTTATCTAGGACTACTGTGTAGGTGAGCTGGTGTTGCATCTGGTGAAAGATATTTTCATATGGAAGACTAAGTCTGAGTTTGAGCATGAGAATTGCACAGCTTACTTTTCATAGTTTCGGGAAGTGGGAAGCACTGGGAGGGAAGAAGGGGAATTGGCAGACTCCAAGCCACTCTCTTTCATTGCTGCTTGCATCTGCTGAAAGTCTAGTCAAAGAAACAAAAGGGGAGGAAATTCTTGCAAACTGTTAGAGTGCTGTCCTTTTAACAATTCAATGCATCTGTAACAGCTGAAAGATAAGTTGATGCATACACGATCACATGTACATGATCACAGCAGGCATATTAACCCAAACTTGTTGAATTATAGCAATTGTCAATGTAAATTTTTGTTACAAGAGTGGAGGGTGGATAGAAGTGGCTTTTCATTCTGGAAACTGTTGATCTTAAGTTGAATCTCCTTTTATTTGTCTGACTCATTTACCCTATGCTTGCAGGTACTAGGAGAGATCTGTGAGCAAGGATATTCAGATGCTCTTAAATTCTTGAAAGAGAATGGTATGTTACACTTTGCGATAATTACTGATTATGTGGTCTTAACCTGAGTTAAAAAAAAAAGGATGAGGGAGGGGGTTGTATGTAGCTAAGAAGGGGCTAGGCCTTTGAGTTTTTTGAAGGGATCATGGTAGGTTTAGTTCTCATAGAAATCACATAGTTGTAGTAACTATTCACCTGAGGTAAGTTGTGGTGCCACACAGAAATTGAACTTTAGGGTTTCTGTCAAATTTGCGTGAAGTGAATGTTAAGTGAAATTACCAAATAATTTCAATTCTAGGGAAATCATATTATTAGTTTCTTTTGTGTTAATTGTGAAGGATAGGAATAGCCTATTGTTTCCTACTCCTGCGAAACCTGTATCTTCTTATTACCTCCTCTCTGCTATCATCCAAGTAAATTTCTAGATAAAGCCTTATAGTCCAGAACTGGGAGCTGGCTAACAACAATATAAACTCAGTCACAAACAAATCCTTAGTCTGTATTGTGAAAGATTTTTAGAAGATGACGACTTGTAATGTAGCAGTTGTTGGGACCCAGATAAGTTTAGGAAGAAGAATTGAAAGTTGCTCTGCTCTACTCCTAGAATTCTAGTAACATATTTTATATAAATAAATGTTATTGCTCTGCACACTTTGAGACAAATGAGTTAACAATAGTAACTTGATATTAGCATGAAGTTAACCATGTGTTAAACATACCTAGCCCCTGTAGTCTTTGGATGCAGAAGCAAATTGGTACTGGGTTGGATTAGAGGAACGGAAACTGAAATGTGATGTTTGCACTAATACAGGTAGTACCAGCTGCAGTATTGTAATGCAGTCATATATGGATGTGCTCACTGCTTATACCCTGTTGTAACTAACCATTAAATATTCATGTTTTCTTAGAACAATTTTCTTCACTGTGAAAAATGTCACGGTTCTGCTTCAGAGTTTGATTTTTCTAGTGATGTTATTAAATATTTGAGAGTCCTGCTTTATACCTTTTACCAGGTGATTAAAAGCACAAGCTATATAAAGAACCTGTAATTTGTGGGTGTCCATACTAAGATGGGTTCCATTGCTGCACTGCACCCACAAGTTTCCTGTGTGCATGTTTCCATCGCTGACACTAATATCTGAGATTCTTTGCAGTTCTTCCTTAGTGTCTGTCCCCCACGTCCTCTGTGTATTGCACTATTGTCCTCCTTTTTCACACTACTGATCCTGTGATCATCTTTGTTCTTATTTGTCACAGGTTTGTCTTGCTTAAAGCTTAATCAGTCATAATTATAACCTTTCTAAACTCATTCATGATGCATCTACTTTCTTGTTAAGTTATTTCAACTGTAGGAGTTCATTTCCCCCCCCCCCCCCCCTGTC